AGGCAATGATTGAACAAAATATTGTTTCTACCCAGCCATGAAGCCCAAGACTGTTCAAAATGACCCAGAATATTTCAAGGCATGAAGTGGATGTGTTGGCCAATGGATGGATTTGCATTTAAATGATATCCTTCTTTCTTTTCAAAATATTTACATTCCAGTGAATTTTAATATTGACTGGTAGAAAGTTCACCCATGCAGAGCTCTTTTCTGAGAGAGATGGGCAATTAAAAAGTATGCTGAATAAATAAATATAAATAAATAAATAAATAAATAAATATTCTAAATAGTTCCTTCTTGTGTTATATAACTTTATCACACACTTGTTTGCAATGTTCTATTCTGAAGTTTAAACCTGCAAATATGAACCTAATTTGTTAAATTCTGTCCATAGATATAGAGAAATGCAAAGACTCATTATGGATTGTCTTTTTTTTTCTCCTTGCTAGAAAGGTTATAGTAAAGCTAATTCTGATTATTACACTAACAACCAGTTCATTGCCCATAATTTGCTCTTTTCCATCCTGTACACATTTTGCCACCAGAGATTATCTCACTAATGCATCATTATTGTTCTCAGCATTGTATCATTTGTTGCTGCTCTTTAGAAAGGATTGCATTACTCACAGGGTCACAAGACAAATTCTGTTCTACAGCCATGATTCATGTAGTCTGATGAAATTCATTTCCCGTCTTCATCCAAATGGAGTGCTTTGTATGGAGGCAGTGTGTAAATCTGGATGGAAATAATGATATGAGCATAGAGACACTTCTTTAAATCTTGTTGGTGATGTTTAAAATGTGCATTGTTGGTTAACATTAAGATTTAAATCACCTTTAGAGCCCTTTGTTACCATTTCAAAGCTCAGTGTAGAAAATTTATTGGTATTCCAATTTGGTGTGAAGTCTGAGCACAACACAGAAGCAGCCATTCAGAGTACATTTTAATTCACTTGAAATGTGATCGAGATTAACTTCCGATGTCCCTGATTAAAAATAGCCCAGAATCCTACAGATCAGGGATGTCAAACTCAAGGCCCCAGGACCGGATCCGGCCTGTGGGGTACTTAGATCTGGCCCACGGGGCCGCCCTGGAAACAGCAAAGGGCAAACCTGTGGTGCTTCTGCCAGCGAAAGCAGGCCCCTGAGCTCCATTTTTGGCTGCCATGACCTCCTGCAACCCTCTGCCACTGAAAACAGAGTGTACTCTTTTTTGCTGGACAATTTTAAACAAAAACTGGATGGCCATCTGTTTTCGATTCTGTAGTACAGGGGTGTCAAACTTGATTTCATTGAGGGCCGCATCAGGATTGTGTTTGACTTCGGGGGGCCAGGGTGGGAATGGCCAGCTCAACATCACTCCTGTCGAGGGTGCCTGTGGCAGCCCGAGTACTCTGCCAGCGAAAACTGGCTCCCAAGCTCTGTTTTTGTCTGCCATGGCCTCCTGCAAGCCTCTGCCATATGTAGCCCTCCTGAGCTCCGTTTTCACTGGCAGAGGGTTTCAGGAGACCGTGGCAGCCAAAAACGGAGCTTGGGAGCCTGTTATCGTTGGCAGAGCGCTCAGGCCACCACAGGCACCCCTGATAGGAGTGACATCAAGCTGGCCACACCCACCCTGCCCCCCCCCAAAGTCAAACACAACTCTGATGCGTCCCTCAATGAAATCAAGTTTGACACCCCTGCTATAGATCATTTCCCCCTTGTTACAGAAAAAGGAGGTAGAGCTATATTTTTTTTCAATTCAAACCTCAAAATTGAGACAAACTGTGATCTGGATTAGCACAAAATAGGTTGAATTCTTTTTGGAGTGAAGAATCTAGTATAAAGAGTGTTGGGTGATTTTTTGCATACTCCTAATTGAAGCAAATTAAAAAAAAATACTTTCTGAATAAATGGTAGGAAAAGCTTCCTAAAGATAAAAGCAGTTTGGCCATGAAAACCATTTTTCAGAGTGTTCCTGAATCTTCTTTTGGCTGGATGTGTTCAAGCAGATACTGAAAAGCCATCTCTAAGGGATGCCTTAATTTGGATTCTTACATTGAATATGAATTGGACTTGGTGGGTTAAATGATCCTTCCCAACTCTAGAATCCTTTGATCTATTAAAGCTGTTATTACAGTCAGTATTATTTCAACTCCAATGCTTAAGTAAATACTTGCTTTCATTCATGGGTGAATACAGCCAGAAATGACAACCTTGCTGTTCTGGTGTGATCCATTTAATTCAATGGAGGGAAGAGAAGACATCTTCCACAAGCGGAGATGCAATTTCAAATGTGAAGAAGGATTCCAAAATGTGTCCTACTAGTTTGCATTTGATGAAAAATAGAATAACAGAGTTGGAAGGGACCTTGCAGGTCTTTTGGTTCTATCTCCTGCTCAGGCAGGAAGCCTTATACCATTTCAGTCAATGGTTGGACAAATGGTTGTCCAATCTCTTCTTAAAACCCTCCAGTGTTGGAGCATTCACAACTTCTGGAGGCAAGTTGTTCAGAGGTGGTAATTCAGCCAGTTTGCACCGGTTCGGGTGAACCGTTGGCAGAAATTTGGCCAAGGTCACCAAAGCGGTAGCAGTGGCTGGCTGGCCATGGCCCCAAAATGGTCCCCCGGTCGCCGCTCACTTGGCTCGCCTGCCATGTTTGTTGCCGCCATGTTTTTCACGCACGTGCATCCCATTACTTTGCAAGTCCAATGGGATGCATATGTGCAAAGAACATGGCGGCGATGGCAGCAGCTTTTTCTACGACCTCTAGTACTTTTTGGTAGCTAGCGGCCAGCTGCCACAGCTGCAAAGCGGCTCTTTAAAGAATCTTCTTTCCAGCCATAGAAAACTCCAGTTATCTTGCCTTCTGGACTCTGGACCAGCTGCCATGGAAAGTAAGCAGCCCGAACAAAGAGGAAGTGGTGGGAGAGGAAGTGGGGCTAGGGCCGAGGCTTCTAAAGGAGGGGAAACAGGGGCAACTGGCGAAGGGAGGGCGGGGGTAGATAGGTGGAAATTCCAAACATTTTCCTACCTTTTCCTGTGGGCATGGCTAGGTGGGGGGGTCATGTGAGTGGGCATGGGCGTGAGTGACATCAAATTAGCCATGCCCACTCAGTCACATGCCCCCCACCTAGCCACGCCCACCAAACCAAAATTTTTTGAAACCCATCGCTGAAGTTGTTCCACTGATTAATTGTTCTAACGATCAGGAAATTTCTCCTAACTGCTAGGTTGGTTTTCTTCTTGATTAGTTTCCATCCATTGCTTCTTGTCCTGCCTTCTAGTGCTTTGGAGAATAAGTTGATCACCTCTTCTTTGTGGCAGCCCCTTAGATATTGGAACACTGCTATCCTGTCTTCCCTAGTCCTTCAAACTCAGTTCCTGCAACCGTTCTTCATATGGTTTAGTCCAGTTCCCTAATCATCTTTGTTGCTCTTCTGCACTCTTTCTCGACATCTTTTTTTATATCATGATGACCAAAATTGGATGCAATATTCCAAGTGTGGTCTTAGAATGATGACCATTGTATTAGCTAGCAGAATATCTACTAAGGTCTATCTCTTTTTTATTTCTCCTACTCTCTGGCCTTTCTGATTCAATAACACATGAGAGAGAAATATTCTGGGAGTTGACTTAAAATCACAAAAGCATTTTTGTGGCTCTGTTTCTATACTAGGAGCATTTATAAATATATCAGGGGCTGTATAACATAATGTATCTCAGTCTGTGGCAATTATCTCAAAAATGCCATGTGAACAGAAGATGCCGCAAAGTGTAGTTTTCAGTTCTTTCTAGTTATGCATCTATGTGAATAAATGAGCATGGACCAGTTGATTGAAACTATCGTATAACCAGAAACAATTCTTGTAACAGCATTCATAGGAAAGGAAAAAAAAAATCTGATACTTTTCAACAACTATATTTGCAGTAGTTTCATTCGTGCTACATTTATTTACCTGCATACCTGATGACACTGTTGTACAGAAAATAGTATGTGGCATAAGCTGGGGTTTACAAAGACTGGACAGCCACCTATCTGAAATGATATAGGGTTTCCTCTTTGAGCAGGGGGTTGGACTAGAAGACCTCCAAGGCCCCTTCCAGTTCTATTCTGGCTGATTGGGAAGTGCTTTTTCACTTAATAGGGTATAGTAACTGTAACCAACATTTTCTCTTTTTTTAGTGCTCAAGATCATATAGCTTTGCATGATAAACAGACTAGCTTTCCATGTTAAATGCATATTTGAACAAATGACATTGGAAAACTGCTTCCAAATGTGTATATTCTACATTGGTGGAGCATAGGTGAAATAGGGAAACTTGAATTACTAAGAACAAAGAATATTTCCCCAACAGTAACAATTTCATTGAGCGCATAAAAAAACCATTGCAGCTTATGATTCATTGGGGAAAAATTGTGAATATAGTTGGTTAATATCTTTTTATATGGTTCATTCTAATAAGTTTATTATCTAATAATAGCTGTATAGATCAAAGTGTGCAAACTTTGTATTTCATCAGGATGATACAAAAAAGAGAAAAATCCAGAAACTTAAACTGGATGATACAACAATAAGGTTTATTGACTCTAACATTGATTGTTGATTTGAAAGCTTGCACTCTCATTTTGACTAAGCCTAAGAACAAATTATTAATTGGCTTACTTTTTCTTTTATTATGGCCTGTGATTTTTGAGCATATGTACTGTTTATTTGCTGTTTATTTTGTTTCCATCAACAGGATATAAGTAGTAAGATTTTTGGGGGGTGATAGCTCCTGTATTATGAGGATTCTTGCATTATAGTAGTTAAGGCTCAAGGCTAGAATGAGAGAAACTGTGAGTTCAAGTTCCACCTCAGCCATGAAAGCCAAGTGGGTAAGTTTGACTTGGGCCAATCACACTCTCTCTCCAGTTTGACTTGGGCCAATCACAACCCACCTCATAGGGCTGTTGTTGTCAGAAAAACAGGAAGAGGAAGGTGTGCTGGATATGTTCACTACCTTGAGTTATTGGTATAAATAATAAAGCTGGGAGAAAACTAAATAAATAAAATCAAACCTTCCCAAGGTAATTTGCCCTAGTATTTTCTTGCATTGCCAATGAAGGCCTACTTTTTAAAGGAAAACTTCTGAGGATCAGTGGGCTGGTGCCGCCACCTGTTGAATCAATGGACTGATCAAAGGGTGAGTTGAGTAAATACTGTTCTTTGCTAAATTCACATTTAACTGAAATAAATTTCTAAACAAGCCTTGGAGGGGGAAAAAAGTAAGAACTACAGATGCTTTAAGCAACAGTCTGGAAAATGCCTGCATTCTAAGTAGCTCCAAATGACTTTTAGACTTCTTTTAATCCATTTCTTGCTGTTCTCATCTCTAACAAGATCCAGCTTGGCAATAGGAACTTGCAGAGAAACCACACTGTGTATCAAATGCAAATTATAATGCTGTGCCCTGAAATCCTAGGAAACACTTCACCTAAAGTTATAGCTTTGCTGCTGATAAAAACTCTATCAAAGAATAAATTCCAAATAACCACAGGAACCCTCGCCAGTTCATCATCCCCTTCTTCTCTATGGGCATTAGAGTCACAATGCTAGAGGCTAGCAAAGCTTTAATTTGGGGAGCTGGGAGGGGCAAAGCACCAACATCGAACTGTGCCAAATTAGCATAAACTTGATCCATTTGTTCATTCCATGCCAGAGAAGGATTAGTCTAACTGTGATTCAAGACATAAGGAGGTTGGTGTGTCTCTCGGATTAGCCTGCTTTGTGATATATGCCATTCAGGAGTCTGACAAAGGAGAAGGTGGGGGTGGGTGGGGAGGGGGTAAAGACATGCCCTAATCATTCTACAGCCTGCTCAGAGCGATCCATTCTCGTATTCCTCTGGAGACATGATTAGCAGTTCCATCCTGTGACTCGGCCTGATGCTATCTGCTTGTGATATTGTAAACAGGATTTCTTGAGAAAGAAAGCATTAGATGGCTATCTGCCATGTTGCACGCGAACAAGCCTGATGAATATAAATGCACCCAGGCAGAGGGCAGGGAGGGTGGGGGGAGAGAGAGAGACAGAATGCAAGTTTATTGTCAGGCTTAAAATATATTGATTCCTGAATTCAGTGGCCCAGGTGAACAGAGTTCTCTCTTTCTATCTTGCTGAAATGTAAAGTTTTATTACCTCATAATAAAGTGAAAGGATTAATTTCAAATAGGTCCTGCAGAATGGTTGCACACACAAAAAAATATCATTTCACTTTAATAATTTATACTAATGGAATATGCAATGTGATCTATATGAGGGTAGTAGAAGAGACACCAAGCAGAGAGTGGAATAATTTAATCTTCCTTTCCCCTTTCTTCTCTTCCTTCTATGGGTCTCATAGAAGACTTGATGTGACCCAAATGGGGAATGGTGAGAATCTGGGTGGTTTTTTTTTTTTTTTTCTTTTTTAAGAGGCCCCATAATTTATGCCAAGAAGAAGCAGAAGGTGGAGATAAGTGCTAAATGAATGGAAGTTGAATACCAAAAGATCTAAAAGACGTCAGATTTGTAAAAATTCAGATTGACTCAACCTCTGCTAGAAAAAATAATAATAATAAGAAAATAAGAAAGGTCTTGACTGTTTTTTTTTTTTTAAAATCTCATTCTGTTTGATGAAACAGATTTTTTTTATTTAATTAAAAAATAGAGATATTTGGTGAAATTCTCATGAGTGGGATCCCATCATCTTGCCTTACCTTACTAGCTGCTTACTTTAATTAGAAGACTAATGAACTGAGGGTTTTGCCTTTCACTATACAGCCAACTTTCTGATAAACATCAGTTTTTCTGGATTTTCTTATACATAAAGCCAAGGTTGGACTGGAAAAATACTGAAAACTGAAGGAATCAAGATGCCCTAAGGAAATGATATCAAGAGTCTAAATAAAGATGAACACTACAAATACCTGGGCATTCTTCAAGCTTCAACACTGAAGTCAAGAAAAAAGTTAGAAGTGAATATATCATGAGAGTAAAGAACATGTTAAAATCCAAAATCACTGGAGAAAAATATCATCAAGGTAATTGACACCTGAACAATTCCAATCTTTAGATATATAGCTGAAACAGTGGACTGACCACAAACAGAACTGAAGAGCCTGAATAGCTACACCAGAAAAATAATGACAATGAATCATGCTTTTCATCCACGCAGCAATGTTGACAGACTCCACTTACCAAAGAAAATGGAATGGAATATTGCAAGTAACCAGAAGAAGGGGAAAAAATATCTGTAGGACAGTAAAGAAGATGTAGGGAAGTTGGCATACCAGGAAAGCTTACTGATTATTGGAGAGACCAAAGTGGATTATAAGAAAGATCTTCGGTCTGACTTAAGTGTAGTACATAAAATTATCTGCCACAATGTCCTACCTGTCAATGACTACTTCAGCTTCAACCACAACAGTACATGAGCAAATAATAGATACAAACTCAAGGTAAACCGCTCCAAACTCGATTGCAGAAAATATGACTTCGGCAACCGAGTGGTCAATGCCTGGAATGCACAACCTGACTCTGTGGTTTCTTCCCCAAACCCCCAAAACTTTTAACCTTAGACTGTCTACTGTTGACCTCACCCTAATCCTAAGAGGTCTGTAAGGGGCATGCATAAGTGCACCAGCGTGCCTATCGTCCCTGTCCTAATATTCCTTTTTACTCTTACTCTTTTCATGTATTCAAATTATGTTTATACTTTTACCTGTTATCTTATATATGCTTGACAAATAAATAAAGAAAAAAGAAAAAGAAAAAAAGAAGGAGAGATGGCAAGGCAAAGTATTACAAGGTATGTATATAAAAACTAGCAGACAAAACAAATAACAAGAAGATCTGGCAATGGCTAAGAGTAGGAAATTTGAAGAAAGAGACAAAGGGGCTAATTCTGGCTGCACAAGACCAAGCATGAAAAACAAATTCATACAAAGCCAGGTGAAGGACATGAATCATTATCATTATTATTTTTGTGGTCTTTTTCTAGTCCATAGGGTATCTTGATTCCTTCAGTTTTTACTATTTTTTTCCCTGTTGTTGGTGAGGGTAGCACATCTGTACAGTCCAAACTCCAGACAAGTATATGTCAGATGCCTTCTTACTGATCTTCCTTCTCTTGCAGTTTTCTAAAATCATGTTGTCAATTAGGAGCTGATTTTTTGTCCCTTTGCTGTTTGGGCGGTTTCCTTTCTGCTCTGATGGAAAGAGTATGCTGTTGAAATGCCTCAGCTACTACATCAGTTAGCACTTTGAAAATTGTTAGTAAGCAGATAATAGACCTGTAGTTGCCTGATGCTATCCCTTTTGTTGGATCTTTTGGATTTATTATTATTATTATTACTATTAAAGTAGTATTTATTCAATAATTTTCATATGTTTGGGTTGATAAAAAATCTAGAACTTCACGAAGGGCTCAACAAGCTGAAGAGTTTGGGGACTTCCCCTGTTTTATACAAAGCTTCTCCCATATTTTTGTACTGAATATTGTCTGTGACAAGTGTTCTTGGAAAGAAGCCTATAAATGCTAGAAATAAACTAACACATTTGAGTTAAAAGGATGAGTAATGGTCATATTTTGGTTTCCTGGGTTATTTATTTTTTCTGAACCATTATATTCTGACCCCTCTTTTACCAAGCACTCCTCCCTGGTTCATTACAGTAGACACATTTTTCTTTCATAACTATTTACATGTGTAATTACTATAGGCACTTCAGGAATTGTTTGCTAACGGCTCTGCGTAAATACTAATTATCAGTAATTAAAAAAAAACACCCAGCTATTAGAAAGATAGTGATAGGGCTAAAATGCTGCTTAGGAAGCAAACAATGTTTGTTGAGGCAAAATTAAACATCAAATAACTTTCTCTCCATATAATTATACCACATGCATCATTTGCCTGCTGTGGAAATCAAAGGGCTAAAGAAAAACAGGTAACTTTGGAATCTTTCCTTCATTCTCCAAAATCCAAAAAATTGTGCTGTGAAATCAGTTGAATAGTGGAGAATATTTTATGCTACAGATGCAGAGAAGCACCAGATGCTTAGTGTATGCATTTCTTTCCCCTCACAACATGCTAAAACTAATGTGTCTGCCGAATGATGCTTTGGTGAGTTAATGTTATAGGCTATAAAACACAATAGGAGCCTGTCTTCTTTCAAACAAATGACAATAAATTATTTAAGTTTCATTCCGTCTCTGTCTTTTGCACTTCCTAACATAGGCAGAAGTAAAGAGATACAAAAGTGTACCTATCATGTTCCTTAAAGTTAGTTTTATTACAAATGTTGTTAAATCATCTTTTACGAGTTGAAGTTTCGAGTGTTATCCATGGGATGATGAAAATAATATTTGCCAATTTGAATAAAGGACATATTACACTTGTTATTGTAATGGAACTGAATGTCACAGTTCCATTCATACTGAAATGTATGGATATATTATTTACAAGTGATTTGTGCCACTTCAAACAAAGGATATCTACCAGGTTACAAGAGCAATAAAACCCCCAATAACCACATAAAAGTCTAAATGAATATTTATAATTCAAATTCATCATCATCATCATCCACAACTATCAGCAGCACCCATCCTGATACATGCATCAGATACTGTGCTGCCCTGCTCACTCACACTCACACATAACTGTGGTTTAGTGAGTTTATTACTATTCCCCAGCAATTCCCTTCTCCAAAACCTAGAACTGTCCCAATTAAGTCCAGCCACGAGCACGCCAAGGTTAGTCCACAAAGCAATGGCTCAATAGTCCACAAAGTTGCTCAAACAAAATAACTCCACCAGACAAACTTAAATCCAGCAGGCAAAACTTAAATCCACACATAAGAGAGCTCATGAGTCAAGAAATCTCCAGAGTTTTCAAGGCACAATTCAATTCCAAACACAATGTCAATCCAGAGTGAGTCAGGAATCATAATGGTCAGAAAACATATAGCTAGAAAACAAACACGTTCACAGCAAATCCTCCATCTGTCTGCTGTGATAAATAGCCAGCTTGCCAGTGCAGCCCATCAAGATGGGCGGGGCTTTCTCCTATTGAGTAATCTGGCTGACCTTCTCTGCTCCTGCTGTCAAGGTTCCAATTAATGAACCTTACATAGCTCTCAATGTCCTTCTTGAAGGATGGCCACCAA